AATTGAAGTTGTTTCTTGATATTTTGTCGATTCGAATTTTTTTTCTGTAATCATCAGTCTAAGATACAAATTATCATCTTATTCACCATAACATAGCAGATTATATTTAAAACTAGTGTGTACCCGCGACTTCGTTCGCGTCGAATTAATAATTTATAAGGGTGATTTTAAAGCAAAGCAAGAATTTCCATTAACATACAAACTAAGATAAAATTTTCTCACATTTATGTCAGCATGAGAAAAAACAATATGGCGATATTTTACGTTTGCCAAAAATCAGCTTTAAACGTCATGCAGTTTAAGCAGAATCGTGATTACTCAATGGTTATATTTTATGAAACACCCTGTATAAATTTTTAAAAAATCTTAAAATATGTAAAACACAAAGACATTATAAAGATAGACCGAACATCTCATTCATAAATACTCGTTGGTAGTGTATCAAACATTCCAATGTGTCAAACAAGGACAGAAGAGACAGAGAAGTCTAAAATTTCCGACCCTGGCAACTAGGCGCATTTGAATTGTTCTAATGGCCAGTGGCGTATCGTTTTTTGGAACGAATTTAATTAGTAAAGTAAAAGTAAAGTAATTAGTAAAATTTTTACTCCATATTAATATACTACATTAACACTTTTTCGTCAGATGAGTTTTGTTATAAGGTCTAATATAATAATACAATTAATATCCCACATATACTTATGTTGAAACGTTAGTAGTTTTCGAAAATCACTCCAACGTCGCTTTTCAATTTAAACTTTCAGTTACATCTATATAAACTTTCAGTTACTTTTGAATATTTACAGGGTGACTCAGGCTTCCGAAACAGTTCTATATTAGGTTTGTCGTTGGTGACTTTTCTTTCAATTTTTTTTTTCAGAATATGGAGGCATTTAGCACATTTTAGACATTTTTGTAAACATAGGTGGCCGGAAAATATTTTCAAACCAAAGTTGTAGATTTGCCATTAAATTTCCATTCCAGAAATACCTAGAGATGCCACTTGTCCTTTTTTGGAATAACTTGTCCTTTTGACTTTTTTTGACTTATAAAGTCATTTTTATTTACTTATTTTCCCTGAGAAAATTACCTACAGCAAACAAAAATATTCTTTTCGCCCAAATTTAATTAGGAATGTTATAAAACTTAACTTATAAATAAATTTTTCTTGTTTAGAATAAGCAACATTAATTAGAACTTCCCGTTTAATCTGAAATGATAGTTGAGGTTTTAGTTTTACCTTTTTTTATCTTAAAAAAAACTTTTCAAAATTAGTACCTAATTAGTAACGATTTAGTTAGTTTGAGAATCTATAGCTTCCTGTGAAGTACCGTGTAATAGTTGTTTAATCTTGTATTTTATTAATCCAAACCACAAACCAAACTTCCTATACCTAAAATCAATATTTAATGAGAAAATTGTGTTTTTTTTGAAAATATAAGACAAGATTTGACTTTCGGTCTTCTTCTTGTATTATGATGGCTCTGATACGAGGCAATTGCCTTTTAGTCTCGCAATAGAAGGCATTTATCATTAAAAGTATAAAATCTGTGTGCTACAGTATGGGATTTCTGTCGCATAATAATGAATACCTATTACGTTTATTTACAAATCCATTACTTTTAATCATCTTACATATTACTTCATCAGATAATCAAATTTTAGTTAAATGTCCTAATCTTCATGAACTGTATTAAGCATATGTATTGCGGTTTGAATCACCCTGTATGTTGACAAAACTATTTTGAAAATGTGCGTTACAATGGCCCCCATCTTATGTAAAAAATTGAAATAAAAATCACAAACCAAAAACGTAATAGGTAAAAAGCTTTTTTGGAGGCCTGGGTCACTCTTTATATAGGTATGTATAAAACTAGTACCTAGCCCAAGAATTATTTACAGTTCGTCCCATTCTAAAAAAAGTTAAACACACCGTACAACTAGGAAGACGTTTTGTACGGTGGTAAAAAATTGTCTAAACAAGGCCGAAGGGGCAGATATAATAAAGCAATAAAATGTAAAAAAGGACGGGTAAACACCTTTGTTTATTTATTGAGCAAAATTCCTTTAGAATATCGTATATAATGACCAAAATATGACACAATTTTAAGAAAAAAAAATGTCACTTTCTGGCTTATAATAAATTTTCAAATGTAACGTTTATATTCAAATTTGTTATGATCTACAACAGTTAGGTAGTAATTGAGACGAATTATAATTCAATTACCGGCTACTACGTTCTTGTTTTAATAGATCAAAATTCAACAAATATAATTAGAAATTATTTTAATTGTGAGAGGCTCCCTTGTGGGACGCCTATGTACGATTACGGCGCGGCGGAAACAATATCTACCTGTGGAAAGACAAATTTGGGTAATTTGAGCTTATTTGTCCACACATTTGACACTGTCGTACCATATTGAAAATTTGCAGATTCAAAAGTACATTAAACAAAAACAAAATCTACTGAAAAACACTGAAAAGTTCACTTTTCAGTGTTTTTCAGATTGTGCTGCCATTTTATCTTTTTATGAAACAAAAAAATGAAAAATTAATGAAACGAATTTATCTATGTGTGTTTTTTAATTAATATTTTAATCAAAATGAACCCACAAAATATCTATTAGCAAACAAGATTTTATTTTTAGTACCAATTTACTAAAATTTAAAAATATTCTCAAGTAAAAATACAATTTATTTCAATAATTTAGAATCGAAAAAAACAGCCAAGAACTGCGAGATATGCGAAGGGAATTTATCCAAACGATTAAATGGAATGCGACAAAAAAACGAATTCGAACGATTTTATCGATAAAAACAAATTTTATTGAAATAAACTATATCACCTATCAAATATTTTAATATTAATTAATAGAAAATTATTTAAAATCACCCAATAATAATAAAAAATGTGCAAAAAGAAATATCTAGCTAAATTATCCGGCTGAGAAGGATCAAAAATAAAAACATCATAAAAGGAACCCCTGTGCAAAATTTCAGCTTTCTATGGTCAAGGGTTTGGTCTGGGCGTTGATGAGTCAGTGATGAATGAATCAGGACTTACAGATTTATATTTTAAAATAATTCATTTTTCATATAAATAGAGAATACAAAGTCCCGCAATGTTTTTTATTTGCTAGCTATCATACTTCGGTTTCGATTTCGTCGTAAAAAACTTGGACACCGTACCGTTGAGTTGAGTGGATTATCTTGGCAGTTCAGGTGACGAACTATGCATTTCCGGCAAATAGGGAACATCCTGTGCCCTAATTGGGCGTCGCCGCAATCGATTCCCCCTTGGAAACCAATGGGGGTCGATCCCGAAATAACATGGCAACAATGGAGAGGTGAACGAATGGTAATTTGACCGACACGCTTTTCTAGAAGCGACATGATATTGACCAAAGATATTTAAACTTGTTTATTTTTCGTCAATAATGACATGTATGTATAATGACTATTTCCATTCTAAATATCTTGAGAACGGTTGCTCGTAGCGATTTTTACCAAGAGACATTTTTTACATAAAAAGTCATGGAAATGTATATTTTTTTAGTCAGTGGTTTAATACAGGTACGGTCGAAAAGTTATTACTCTTCAAAACAGTTAATACACATGTAGGTGGCGCCCCCTACAAATAGGAGTAATTTTGATAACAAAATCAAATTTCTCGTGTCACAAAACACCCAGATATCAATTTTCATGTAAATATTGATGATTGATTTCAGAAATTATTTGGAAAAAATCGAAATAAAAATGAAACTTCTACACCCTGTAGCTCCGAAACTAAGCACTTTAGGATATACATTTATACGAACTTTTTTACTTATTTTGATCTGTAGAATATGCTGCGGAAGTTTCCGGAATACAGTTCGGACCACCCTGTATATCTATACTAATATATAAAATCCTTAAGTGACTGACATACTGATTAATGCCGAATTTTTTTATTTTTTTGCTTTTGCCACTGGATAAAAAATTATATATTTTTTTAAAGTTGTGTGAAGACCCAATCTCTTGTTTTCAAAAAAAGGGGGGCAACAGCGAAGGTTACGTTTAGGTGACAATGGTCCTTGAATATTCTTACCAAAACTTGTGCGCAGCTTTTAATATTGATTAAAAAAGTATATTTTTTGAAATTTGTGTAGAGACCCCAATTGTACGTCGGCGATTTTCATTTTAATATTTTTTTAAACCCAGAGGTATGAGCATTTGAAAAATGTAACACTCGAACTTTATATATTTTTTTTCTTGACATCTTGGCTCAGGCTAACTGTCACAGAATTACAGTCACAGAAAAGCTCATGAAAGAAAACGCCTTGCGTGACCATCTTCTGATGCGTGTCAAATACTCGTCAGCTAGTAATGGCTGTATGTATACCCAGATAGCACAAAAGGAACATTTACATTCTAAGAATATTCCTCCTAAGTTCTTATAAGTATATTCTTTTTTTAATAAGTATGGCATATGAATAGTACATTCTACTATGAATGTGATTTAAAGGTATATTATCAGCATGACCTTAGAATGTCTTCTTAAATTATGGTTTACAATAAATTATAAGTATCTGCTATTCACGTTCTAAACATATCTGAATAAAAATAAAGGAGAATAAAAATGATTTCGAAATGAAAAAATAAATACAATACATTATAAGTATTTGTATATTTTCTTACTATTAAATTTTTGTGTATTAAATATAATTATTAGGGATTTTATATATTAGTGTATATAGATGCACTGTAAACAAAATATTCAAGCAAAAATACAGTGTTTCTTATTCTAACAAATAAATAAACCTGTAAAACTGTATAAATAAAAACGATCTTCCATTATGGGTATCTATACCCTATTATGAAATAAAAAGATCGATTATACCAAAAGATAGTTTGATAAAACTCGATAGATTTTAATCGATTTTCTGGGTAAAAAGATCGATCTTCGATTGAAATCGATTCGAATCGTATATCCATAACATAACCTAACAAAAAAAAACAACTGAACGTGCTTGATCCAAACGTGACCCAAACTATTTTAATAATTAAAACACTGAGGTAACGTAAAGGTAAGTGATGCAAATAATTATTTTAAGGATAGAATTGGTAAAATAGTTCTTGTTATGTTTGTGTTTTCAGTATCTATTTTAAGGGGAGTGAATTTAATGTTCTCAAACCATGAGACCTCGAAAAAAATAGGTTATACTAAAAAATATTTTAAAATTCAACCAAAAAAAAAGGAGCCAAAATCTTATTACAATGTTACGCAAATATGACTTCAATATTGTACATTAAACTGGATTCAGACTAAAGTGATTCTTTATTATCCTCTGTACATCATCAAAGTAGTAGTATCTCTGGTAGTATCATCGAAGATATCTGTTCTAATAAGTGGAGTTAAAGTGCTGAAATTTCCTACAATATAGTATTTATATAGGTATTTATGTAGGCTCTTCTATAATCATTTATTGTGTATTTTTTAAGAGAAAGGTATTTTTTTAGAATTAATAGGTTCGAGAATTATCTAGACTTGGTGGTTCAGGAGTAGCAATGAAATTGCACAAAAATATTCTTGGGATGGGGCCAACCAGAAGAGAAGTTTGAAATCATTGTTAGTGGCCAAAAGCAATTTTAGGTATCTGAACTTAAAGATATTTGCAAAGACTGTAATAACATATATTTTAGACTCCATGAAAGGTCAATTTCAAGAGTCAAAAGAAACCGAAATTATCAATATAATTAAAATATGGCTTGTAAAAGCAAAAGAAAGATCAACAAAACAAAGGTAAGTTGTGCAAATTTATTTGAACAGTATAATTTTGCTGATATTATTTCAGAAGGGTAGACAAGAGAATATAAAAACATAGACATAGAAGATAATATCAATGTATATTGTTATATTAAAATATTTTTAATTAATAAACATATATTACTCAAGTTCGTCTTTATCCTTACCTATTATTTTTAACCGTTCTATTTATTACTTAATTTTTTATTATTACACATCAAATTATTTAATTTCAGCAAGTTGTTTATAGTGTGTTCCAGATATGAATGTACTGTATAGGTATCCTGTAGATTTTAAGAGATAAAAAAATTGCTAAATATGAAAAAAATTGTGTCTATCTATAGTTTATAGGATATTGGTACAGTGCATCCTTATATAGGACACCCTGTAGATACAGAGTTGAGGATTAGAATATTTGGTGTTACAACAGCAAAATAACACACTAATTCACCACAATCTACCAAAACACTTTACTTTTGAACTGGACGCTTGTTTGGTTAATCATGTTAGCGTCATCAGTAGATGATTAAAACTTAAATTTTGACCATCTGCTGATGATGCTAACATGGTTAGCGAAACGCGTCCTGTGCAAAAGTAAAAGTGTTTGAAACATATTGTGGTAAATTAGTGTTTTATTTTGCCTCTGTAGATAATAAAAATATGAAAAACATATGAAAGCATAAATATAGAATATTAAAAACATGAATATCATATAATTGGAATATTATTTTTAAATACATTCTTTACGAACATATAATTCACGTTCATACAATATATCTTGGAATGTGAAACGCACTTCTATATCACTTGAATAGGGTGGAACGTAATCTCTGCTATTCATGTGCCATATATGTTCCCAATGAAAAAAAGGAATGTGAATAGAACATTGTTGTTCTCCAAAGTCACTTGCTTCGCATATGAAAAGAACGTAAATGTGCTATCTGGGTATGTATGTCAATTATTAACAATAACTTATTTTAAAATTTAATGCTATTAAATATTACTTAAATAAAACAAGACAGCATGCCACTGGTTTGCTGTGATGTGATGATTCTTTTTTATTACTACGTATACGAGGTTCTAAAATTCTAACGCCCCTTCAAAATCGTCGTGTTAAAACATTAAAATGCCTCGTCTCGGGCGCCCTCTATCTTCGGGAAAAACACAAATACATAGCATCAGAACGAAAATAGCTGACGGGAACCGATTTTCGCTTTCATGCCGACGACTGGCTGTGAAATCGTGCGTGAAACATATGCCTGTCAAATAGCACGTGCCGCATAATGACGTAATAATGTATTGATACAGAACGCCACCCTTGAATAAGAAGCGAATTTCGGACTCGGTTTGTGTGAGGGGGTCGCGCGTCCATTATTTAGCGTGCGTCTTGAAAAAAGGCGCCATAAATCATATGTTTAACGAAGGAGAGATGAGCACAATGGCTAGTAATTCGAAATAACTTTTTCGTGACTTTGCCAACCCATTAGAGGCGATATTAATAGATGCACAGATAATAAACATTAATCTGTCTACAGTCTATTAAAAGTCAGCGTAATCAAAAGGTTTTATTATCAACCAGGGCCGTATCTGGGGGGGTGTTTTGGGGGTTCAAACCCCCCCCCCCCGAAATTATGGCCGAAAATTTTTAAAAAGTAATGATCATTGAGTAAGTAAGAACGAAACAAAAAAAGAACAAGATGGATGAATATCTACGACTAAAGAATACAAGGACATGTAACGCCCATATACGGGCTGCAGCAGAATTTGTGACCTTAGACGCTAACTTTTTAGACATAACGAATGAATCATCAGCTGGTCATCAGCGACAATTTTAGCGATTTTTAATAGTTGGTTGTGTGTAGCGAACTTTGTATAAACTTTATTACAACGGTAATTTGTTCAGCTGTCAAGTGTAAAAGGCGCAATGATAAGAAAGAGCCAGAAGTTACGTTTTATAGGGAAATAAACAGTCCCCTACACCTTTTTAGCGTTTTTTTATTGAATTCGATAATTATTTTTCTGATATTATATGTACTTGATATGTACTATACGTCGATACTAGTTATGTACCTTTTGTTAACATTTTAATACGTTTTTTTCGTAATTAATTAGTATGATACCACCCGATACACCATAGGCGTAGTGAAAACTGAAAACATATAATATCAAAAATATAAATATCCCTTCAAGCGGCAATGTTAAGTAAAATATGTGCTACGACACTGTTTGGAAGAATGGTCACAGTTTGGTTTCGGGTGCTATTTGTCCTTGTATTCTTTAATCATTGATGAATATACATTATACATCCTAACCTCACTTTTCCACTTTGAAAGCAAATGTCATTTTCAATTTTCGACTTTCAACATTCATGTGTTTTTAAAACAGCAAAAGTTTGACAAGGACAAGATTTTGAATGTTGTGTGTTTTGCTGGTCATTAACGTGATTAACGTTTGTTATTGTTCTGCTATTAGACAAAGAATTCTTGGACTATGACACTTTAGCGGCAGAACTAGACTTGTGGCGGTGGAAGCAGCTACCTGCAGTCGACCGACCTAAAAACGCCATCGAAACGATAATCGGAGTGTAACCAGTGTATATTTCCAAATATATACATTTTATTAATGATCCTAGCAACTCTACCAGCGTCAACAGCTACACCAGAAAGGTCTTTTTCAACCCTAATGCCGCAACCGCGCATGCGGTATTCGGCGATCTCCGATCGGGGCTTCGCCGATTTCCTATGTGTGTGGATGAAGAAGTCGGAGTTCGGCGACTCGATCGGCGACGAGAACGAGCGCTCATCTCTATCTTGTTGCTATCAGAGCCCGCATGTGGATGGAAAGGCGAAGTCCGATCACGAGCGTTCGGTAGTTGACGAGCGCTCGGGTTCGCTAAATGCCGCATGTGCGGTTGCGGCATAAGACGATTGAGACTTCCTACGTAACTCTACAGGTCAGGAGCGATTGACAGGACTTGCTCTATTAAGCGTACATAGAGAAATAAATATCGATATCGAAGAGGTAGTCAATCGTTTTTCAGGGGAAAGACCAGTTTATCCTTTAAGATTAATAATTTTTACCTGTTACTTTTTTTAAAATTTTATTTTCAATTAATTCAATAATTTCAAAGATTTGAGTGTAGCCCAAAGCGATTTTTTATTATGCTTTTTCTAGCAGCTTTTGAACCCCCCCCCTCCTCCAAGTCAAACCCCCCGAAATGTTGGTCTAGATACGGCCCTGTTATCAACCCATACAGCACACTTCGTCCCAGGGACGTACAGCTGGTTCCAATAAAATTGAATACGATTTAAAACATATCCCAGATAGCACAAAAGGGACATTTACATTCTAAGTATATTCTTTTTTTAATAAGTATGGCATATGAATAGTACATTCTACTATGAATGTGATTTAAAGGTATATTATCAGCATGACCTTAGAATGTCTTCTTAAATTATGGTTTACAATAAATTATAAGTATATGCTATTCACGTTTTAAACATATCAATATCTGAATAAAAATAAAGGAGAATAAAAATGATTTCGAAATGAAAAAATAAATACATTACATTATATTTGTATATATTCTTACTATTAATTTTTTGTGTATTAAATAATTATTAGGGATTTTATATATTAGTGTATATAGATGCACTGTAAACAAATATTCAAGCAAAAATACAGTGTTTCTTATTCTAACAAATAAGTAAACCCGTAAAACTGTATAAATAAAAACGATCTTCCATTATGAAATAAAAAAATCGATTATATAATACCAAAAGTTTGATAAAACTCGATAGATTTTAATCGATTTTTTGGGTAAAAAGATCGATCTTCGATTGAAATCGATTCGAATCGTACATCCATAACATAACCTAACAAAAAAACAAGTTATGCAACAAGCAACAAGTGAACCATAAACGTAAACGTGCTTCATCCAAACTATTTTAATAATTAAAACACTGAGATAACGTAAAGGTAAGTGATGCAAATAATTATTTTAAGGATAGAATCGGTAAAATATTTCTTGTTATGTTTGTGTTTTTAGTATCTATTTTAAGGGGAGTGAATTTAATGTTCTAAAACCATGAGACGAAAAAAAATAGGTTATACTAAAAAATTCAACCAAAAAAAAAGGAGCCAAAATCTTATTAAGCCAATGTTACGCAAATATGACTTCAATATTGTACATTAAACTGGATTCAGACTAAAGTGATTCTTTATTATCCTCTGTACATCATCAAAGTAGTAGTATCTGGTAGTTATCATTGAAGATTTCTGTTCTAACAAGTGTAGTTCCAGTGCTGAAATTTCCTACAATATAGTATTTATATAGGTATTTATGTAGGCTCTTCTATAATCATGTATTGTGTATTTTTTAAGAGAAAGGTATTTTTTAGAATTATTAGGTTCGAGAATTATCTAGACTTGGTGGTTCAGGAGTAGCACAAAGTACAAGGAAAGTGCTTTATAAGGTTCTGGGCAATGAAATTGCACAAAAATATTCTTGGATGGGGCCAAACAAGTTTGAAATCATTGTTAGTGGCCAAAAGCAATTTTAGGTATCTGAACTTAAAGATATTTGGTGTTGCAAAGACTGTAATAACATATATTTTAGACTCCATGAAAGGTCAATTTCAAGAGTCAAAAGAAACCGAAATTATCAATATAATAAAAATATGGCTTGTAAAAACAAAAGAAAGATTAAAAAATAAAAAGGTAAGTTGTGCAAATTTATTTGAACAGTATAATTTTGCTGATATTATTTCAGAAGGGTAGACAAGAGAATATAGAAACATAGACATAGAAGATAATATCAATGTATATTGTTATATTAAAATATTTTTAATTAATAAACATATATTACTCAAGTTCGTATTTATCCTTACCTATTATTTTTAACCGTTCTATTTATTAGTTAATTTTTGATTATTGCACACCAAATTATTTAATTTCAGCAAATTGTTTGTAGTGTGTCCCAGATATGAATGTACTGTATAGGTATCCTATAGATTTTAAGAGATAAAAAAATTGCTAAATATGAAAAAAAATGTATCTATCTATAGTTTATAGGATATTGGTACAGTGCATCCTTATACAGGACACCCTGTAGATTGACACCCACACAGAGTTGAGGGTTGGAAACTTTGGTGTTACAACAGCAAAATAAAACGCTAATTCACCACAATATACCAAAAC